AAGTTTTTTTTTTTTTTTTTTTTTTTTTTTTTTTTTGCAGTGCATGCAACATTTCATTTTTTTATGAAATTAAGACTTTCCGCTGTTATTTAAGAGATTTTTAGGTCTTTTTGTGGAAGGGTGAATTAAGACCATAGACCAGGGGTGCCCAAACTCGGTCCTGGAGGGCCGGTGTCCTGAAGAGTTTAGCTCCAACCCCAATTAAACACACCTGAACCAGCTAATCAAGCTCTTACTAGGCATACTAGAAACTTGAAGGCAGGTGTGTTGAGGCAAGTTGGAGCTAAACTCTGCAGGACACCGGCCTTCCAGGACCGAGTTTGGGCACCCCTGCCATAGACTGTATAAAAACAGATTAAGACCTGCAGAAACCCTGTTTCATGCATATTTGAATGATTTCTCTCAAACAGCTGATTGCTCTTACCGTCCACTTTGGTGACGATTGGCCTAGAGCTCACCGTGGCAACGTCACTCACTGAGGTTCCCTGAGCTGACTGGACGGCCCTCCGCGTCCTTCCGGGGGTTGTGCAATTCTAACGCATGCATCATAAAATGGATTTAAATACATTTCAGTTAGATGATGGTGTATGTGGCCCTCTTGTGAAGTATATACAGTATATTGAGGTTTTTGTTAGCCATGTTACATGTTGTCATACCTGCCGTAAGGATCTACAGAAAGAGCTCTCACAGAGCCTGGTGATGCAGTGCAGATAAAACGTCGACACCGTCTTGTTTCTGTGCTCCACAAAGCGAAAAGTCTCGAACGAGAAGCGTGCCACCTGCTGTTCTCCATTCACACCCATTATGGTTTGCAGATCAAGGTTGCATCTGAGAATGACAGAGGGTGATATAATCAGAGCTGGGTAGTAACAGATTATATGTAAACTGGATTACATATTCAGATTCCAAAAATTAAGCACATAAAATACTTATCTTCAGACTGCAGTTTCCATTGTTTCAATACAAATTTATTTATCAATATTCAGTTTTTCAGGATTTAATTGTCTTTTCATTAACTCAAGCCCTGCAGTTCTTTCAACACAGCTTAAGAAAGCCTTACATAATGTGCGTAACAATGTAGTTGATAATAATGGAAAATATTGTATTTTTTTCAAATATATTTTTCTTTCTTTTCTGTATTTTTATATGAAAAGTTATCAAAAAGCCGCCAAATTGCATTACCTAAAATGTTTCATGCAATAGATTATGTTATTAACTACCATTTCTGTCATGTAATTTGCAATCAGTAACAGACTACAGTTTGTAAGTGTGCCCAGCACTGGATATAACTGAGCTGTGGAATCACTTTTAGATGCATATTTGTACCTGAATCATCCTCGCAATCATCTTTGCTTAAGAATGATTAAAAATTAGATTCAAATATTAAATATTAGTTAAAAAGTGTAACCGAAACAAAGATTTAAGTCTTCACACATACCCGACAAACAGGTCAAATGATGTGCTGTTTCCTGGGTAAGGACTTGTGGTTGTATAGCATCGATCCAAAAGCACATTGAACCTTTATGGGGGGGAAATTATAATATATATATATATATTTTTTTAGGGTGCCACTCCTCTGTCCTGGGCACAATTTGTATCATGTCATAGGCCACCTTATGATGAATAACATAATTCAAAATATTCTCAAACTGAACAAAGTACCTCTCTGTGAGATTAGTGGCTCGCACTTCCACAAAAACCCTGGTTTTCAGCATGAGACCCGTTGGAGGTATGAAGAGACGAGTGGTATATGTGTAGTCCTTTGAGTCAGTGCAGAAAGACAGTTAAGAACACATGCAGTTGGCCAGTTCCAATAATGTGTTACGATGAAAGTCATTGCTAAACTGAGCCAAAGGAACATATAATACCTCAAAAAGAACCATGCTCAGAGTGCTGATGAAACTACCATTATTGTCTTTAATTGCCAAACTCACTCCAGATCTGCAGAACAACATATGTTTGTGTGCAAATGATTAGTGAGTAATTCATTAAATCATTTAGACTGAACAGATTTCACATATTAAGACATACAGTGGAAGCCAAATGTCTGAGATCACTGAAAACACTTTTATTTTGCATTTTTCTAATACATTTTTCTGCATTACAAATTCATAAAATTAGTATTTTTGTGGAAGTTTGATGTAAGGAAGAACATCTGACCTTTTGTACAACATTCAGATGGTCACAAAGTTGCTTATTTGATTATTAAAAATAGTATAAACATTTAATCTTGATTTCATGGATTAATATATCTATTTTCTATTGAACCACGAATCCCAGGTTTTCAGTGTGGTCTCAGACCGTTGGGACCTCACTGTTCATGTTCACTCCACTCACACACTCATCTCCGTGTTGTTGACCATGTACTGCAGTGGGTATCTACAGGAAAAGAGGTATTTGATCTCCTGCCAGTAGGTGATGGTTCCAGCATTCACGTCCTGAGTATTGACCACTCCAGAGATGTTCACAGACTGAACACTGGAGAAGTCTGAGAACAGCCCAGATCCGATCTCTTCGGTGATCTGTTACAGTGATTACATGAGATACACCTTTTGAATATCAAAGAAACGAATATACTGCAAGGCAACTTTAAATAAACCAAAATGATTAATGTAACAGAAATTGGGTTGGGATTGACTAATTATGTATAACTGAATTATTTTCCAGGTCAGAATATTAAAAATTCTAAAAAAAAAAAAAAATCTAAAAAAAAAAAAAAAGGAAAACAGACTATAAAAACCATAAAAGTAACTAATTTAATAACAAATGCAATTAATATTAACATTAATAAAAACATTTAAGATTTTAAATATACAAATAGTTTAATATATTTAGACTTAGTCAAAAGTTTGGGATCAGTAAGACTTGTAATGTTTTTTAAAGTCTCTTATGCTCATCAACGCTGCATTTATTTGATCAAAAATACAGAAAAGAAAAGGTAATCTTGCAAAATGTTATTACAATAAAAAAATAATGGTTTCTATTTTAATATTGTTTCAAATATAATTTATTTCTGAGATGTAAAGCTGAATTTCCATCAGCCATTACTCCTGTATAAAGTGTCACATGATCCTCCAGAAATCATTCTAATATGCTGATTTATTATTAGAATTATGTTGTGCTGCCAAATATTTTTTTGGAAACTGGGATACTTTTTTCAGGATTCTTTGATGAATAAAAAGTTAAAAATAACCATTTATTCACAATATAGATCTTTTCTAACAATATAAATCTTTGCTATCACTTCTTAACAATTTAACACATCCTTGCTGAATAAAAGTTTTAATTTCTTTCAAAACAAAAGAAAGAATAAAAATGGACTGACCCCAAACTTTTGAACAGTAGTGTATATTGTTAGAAAAGATTTCTATTTTAAATAAATGCTCTTCTTTTTAACTTTTTATTCATCAAAGAATCCTGGGGAAAAGTATCACAGGTTCCAAAAAAATACTAAGCAGCACAACAGCTTCCAGCACTGATAATAAATCAGCATATTACAATGATTTCTGAAGGATCGTGTGACACTGAAGACTGGAGTAATGATGCTGAAAATTCAGCTTTGCATCACAGGAATAAATTAGATTTTAATGTATATTAAAATAGAAAAACATTATTTTACATCATAATAATATTTTTTCCCTGTATTTTTGATCAAATAAATGCAGCCTTGATGAGCACAAGAAACTCCTGTAAAAAACATAAAAAATCGTTCTGATCCCAAACCTTTGACCGGGTAGTATATATACTGTATATATATATATATATATATATATGACTTTATAATAAAATTATGTATTATTGTATAAAATATTGTATTATAACAACTATTATTTTTATTACATATGCTGTAAAATGTCTCATACCGTCAGCTTATTGGAGCAGACAGATATGTATGGTTCAGTGATGTAGAACTGGAATTTCACTACAGGTGGGTCGACGGTCCAGTCAGCGGTTCCTCTGCACTCAGGTTTGCCAAACTGACCATTAAGAGCCACCATGGATTCATTGTATCCATAGAAGTACATGGGGCACAGCAAAATCTGCAAATCCATCCTGTTTGTGCCACACACAACTGTGATATCAGAGCTGTCTGTAAAAAAATAAATAAATAAAAAAAGAAAGAAAGAAAACAGTTCTCACAGCAAGCTCTTATGATGTTTATTGTTTGCACATCTTTGGTATGGAAATATATGATGCTCTTTATGCTGCTAGGACATTTAAAACCACATGAACCATAACTAAAAGGAGGACACGTAATTAAATGAATACTGCATGTTTAAGAAAACACTCCTCAAATTGCTGGGTGGTCTCGATTTCCTTTGTGGTTCCAAAGGAAATGAAAGGTGAGATAGTGATGAGAGAATTAAGGATGTATAAAGAGGAAGAAGAGAGGATACATGTATGCTTTGATTGACCTGGGTCTCTGAATGTTGGGTGGGTGAGGCAGGGACTCTGAGCCTCTGACTGGAGAATCAGGACAAGCTGACACACTAGGAGGGCCGGCCACATGATGCTCTGGCTGCAGGGAAAATCCCACACATCACATTATCACCTTGACCTCGATTCACTCAAAAACAGATTTTAAAAGCAAAAACAACTACTTACAATCAGATCACACAACAGGTTTTCTGTTTCAATTCAAATGAGCCTAATGTCACTGGTCATACGTTTTTGGATTTTGATGAAGGAGCGCGCCAACAAAAAACATCTGACTCCTGTTTTAAACAACATAAAAAATACATATATTAAATCATGTTTATAGTGATATATATATATATATATATATATATATAGAGAGAGAGAGAGACTACTTTTTGAATACTTTTAGATTACTTTTGACCTAACTCGTTTATCATATTGATTTAAATAGGATAATCTTGTACCATATTGATATGAATATGCAAATATATATATACATATATATATATATATATATTACATTTCTTGTTATTAACATCATGAAGGGCACTAAACATTATGTTACGTCAAGATTTCTTAAACTGGGGATTGTAAAGGAACTGCAGGGGGTTTGTGAGTTTAATGAAAAGCTAATAATTAAATCATTAAAAATGTAAAATTAAAATAAATAATTTTAAAATAACAATCAAAATAAAACACTAACAATAACATGTTTACCTGCATGTCATGTGACCATTAACCAAGTCACAGATCCGTGAACTTGCGAATGTGATACTAAATTGTTAATTTATTACCTTAAAATCTCAGGGGGACTTCAAATAAATATATTAGGCAAACGAGATTTGGCTGACAATTTTTTATTTTTTTTAATGTAATTTAATCAAATTACAAGTACTTAATTTTTGGAATCTGATTACGTAATCCAGATTACATGTAGTCAGTTACTACCCAGCTCTGTAATATATATATATATATATATGTGTGTGTGTGTGTGTGTGTGTGTGTGTGTGTATGTATATAGTGTATATTACAAATTCAATGAATTTTATGATAGATATAGATTAAATACAAAAAAATGTTTTAAAAAAGATAAAGCACATATAATAAATGCAAATACGTATCTAAATAAAATGTTACACAATTTCAGAATAAAGAAAACCCTAAACAAATAAACAAACAAAATAAATAAATAACATCAATATTAGGACTTAGAACTTAAATCATAAAGAGTATGTATTACCTTGTTCACCTTCTCTCTTTTTGCTGTCTGTCTCTCTGTGCTTATGATGATATAGCTATTTATACAGGCCTCTTTCTATCTATAGGTGTGAGGGAGGGCACCAGAAACACAACAAGGGGTTATGAGAAATAAGGGACGTCAGAGGAGGAACACGAGGAGCTTTAAGAAGATCAGTGTAAGTTCAGTATCAGGTAACATGTCTGGAATACTAGGAGAATCTTGCTGCTCGTATAGCACAAACTTGGCTTTTGCATAGAGTTATTTTCTATAAATGCATTATATCACTGTGTATCAGGCTGCACTTAACTGTGCTATTATAACAAAGCGCTATGCAACAAATATGTCCTCTTCAAGACAAAAGATGGTCAAGTTATAAAACAGGGGCCGGTTGCATAAACGGTTTAGACTAGTCTTAAAAAGTTAGTCAACTAATTGTTTTTCTTCAAGACTGGTCATAGCTTTTTTAATTCAGTTATGAAAAGGTAGATTGGTCTTATTTATATTGGAAAAGTAAAACTGATTACCCTTTGGCAACTGCTAGTTGGTCAAACTATTTTTTAAGTCACAGTCTTAAGATGGTGGCTAAGTTTATGCAACTGGCCCCAGGACTTAATGAAACACATGGTCTATTCTTATTACACATTATGTCACACTAATAAAGTCTATATTTTAGGACTATTCTAACAGATATATGGTTCATTTGTTGAAAAAATGCCTTGTTATAAATTACATTTATATAATAAAATTTATATAAATATTATATATTTGTATTATAGAAAAAAAATAATACAGTAAATAACTGGTTGAGAATAATTATATACGCATCGTCTTATTTTCACAAAAGGATGATAAAATCCGGTCCAAAAATTAAATAACCTGTATTGTCATTTCAGAACTCTGAACTATTGTATTCATAATAGCTTCCTTAAAGGGGTCATATGATGTTGCTAAAAAGAACATTATTTTGTGTATTTGGTCTAATGAAATGTGTTTATGCGGTTTAA